CACTTCTATCAATCGAAAGGAGACTGCGACCACACCAGAGGCCACAACATCTTGGTCTTCATATATTCCGAAAAATAGATTTTTTATGCCACTACTTTGTTATGATCATATAAAAAATAGCTATTCGCTAGGCAAGGGTTCATCATTCTCTTTTTTTGCTTCTGATTTTTCTATCTAGTTAAATCGGATCAGTCTACTTTGAACAATGATTTAGAAGTGTACCCTCCCCGACCACCTTCTAACCACTCGCAAGATGAAGCATCTCTGTCTGATCTTGACTTTTCCACTCGCCTGTCGAATTCTTCTTCTACTCTAATGACGCCATCTCAATCTAACCTTGTTAATCCAAATGTGTCTATCAACCTTCCCTTCGAGTTAGCTTTCGGTCAGTCGCTTCCACTATCTGTTGCCAGTACCTTATCTTCTAGTACGTCAGTCACTACTGTGAACCCTGCCGGCTATGCCTCACGAGCAGTTGATTCGATTGGTGTAGAAGCGGACTCTTACTGTCACGAAGAGGCTTGTCAAGAGGTTCGGCTTACTGATCGACTTCAAATTCGTTTATCCAGCCTTCTCGCGACGGATTGCACTACACATCCTGGCTGGGACGAGGAACACGCCTTCTCCCTGCTTTCCAAACAACCACCTCGGTGTAGAGTCGTTTCTTTTGACTTTAATCGAAAGGCATGTAGATATTTTATGAGAGCATTAAATTTTTATATTTATGTATGCAACTGATGAGTGATATTCTTTAAATTTACCCCATTTTTTTATCTTAAAAGTGCCTCTTAGGCATTATACTCATTTCCCCATTAATCATTACCTATTATAATTCTTGCTACTTCCAAATTCCAGCCTGCACTCGTCTCAAAATCTTGGTTTTACCTAGTAATTACACTATTCTTTATTGCGCTTGATTTCGAAAATACTTTTTTATTTATTCCTTCGTAATCCATGATAACGACCGCCTAGACCGTATTCGTATCGAGACTCAATTTCTCTTTATCTATTATAATGATAAGGATTCGATAGGTGATACCTACAAAGATATATTCTTTCTATTATATACTTAAAATTGCTTTGAGTATTTTAATTTATAAATCTAGTTAATAATTAGTATAATATAATATATTTATATTAATATATATATATATATATATATATCAATTAATAGGAATAAGCTTTTGCATTGATTAATACAACCGGGGTAGGTATACGCGATATGCCATCTGTTTATGTTAGTTTGAAATATTTGAATACTCATAGCTTCATTCATATAAATTGATTATCTCAGTTATTTCGTTTACCTTCAATTAATTTACCTAAAATATTTTAATTTGTGATTGTCTTGGTTACACATGATAAATAACTGCTTCTTATAAATAAAGAAATATAATCGTAGATATTTAGACGTTAGCTTTGTAGCGTTGGTTTGATTTCGTTTTCACAAGCTAATCTGAGCGTCAGAGAGACCTTGGGAAACATACCTAGTCCTGCGTCCTCTGTTATAGCATTCGTAATTTCCAGAATCGGACCATTGACTTGGCACATTCCTAAACGTTTCGCCGGCACCGTTAGCACAGTTACAACTTATCAAAGTGAAAAGTAAGGGCAATCCCCTTGATTACTTTTTGTTTAATCATTGTGTCATCACTCCTCGCCCATAGCCTTTGTCCTAGCTTTTGGTGCTGCATCTCTTTCTCTCAATTCCAATTGATATGGCGCACTTAACTATTCACACCATTCTGCGCTCACGTTTCTTCCAATATATCTTAAGAGTGTGTTGCTACAAGTGGATTTAATGAAGCATAATCATCTTCGTCACCGGTCTAAGATGCTTCTTGCAAGGCACTTTCATTCAGCCATTCTTCAATCTCGTCTGTCATTTGGTCCCTGCTGCATATAACAATCATTGTATGGCTGTCTGAAATCTGGCTCCCTGTGAGCTTTTAGTTCCTGTCCCTATTTACGTCATATTCAAGGATTTTGAACTGGTGATGTCCATGTCTAGGAATCTTACTCTCTCTAGGCTTTGGACCCATGACCCAGTTATCTTCTTTCTCATCTCTATGCTCATTGTATCTAATTCTTTGGGACCCTATGTCAGTCTTAATTCGGAACTGCTGGTGTGAAAATGCACTGCTTCCCTTTTTAGACTCTTGAATCGCGTAAAGCACACTTGTCTCTCAAGTTTACAGTTCCATCTAATCCTAAGGTTCTAGTCAGTTGTTTGTTTGCATGTTGGTTGGCATCCCCCCTGGTCAGGCATGGTACTACTCGCCTCTCATTAAGGCACACACACCAAAAATGCGCAAGAACATGGGGGGCCAACTGATATTGTGCTCCTCAGGTCGCTTTCCACATCCTGAGGATTTCGATTGGGATCTATACATCTAGTCTAGCATATTAATTGTTTATGATTTGCATGTTTCTGGTATTTAATTTCCTATCCCTCACTGGTAACTTTTTGGCCTATTCCAGGTTTGACTATTGTCATTGCGATCGTCTTTTATTGACTTCCCTTTTCCCCATTATCCTCGCATTGATGATGTCTCTTCCCGTTAATGAATAGTTTTTTTGGTCTAAGCATCTCTTTTTGCTGTACTTGCTAGTTTGTCCAGACAGTACGCAAAATTATCGTTGGCTTCTCTCTTCCAATCCTGTTCAACATGTTTCTCTGAAGCAGGATATCCATAGCCTCCAAGATCTTCCGTCTTCTGGTATTCTCCCTAAATGAGGTCAGTCTTTCCGTTGCCCTCCAGTCAATTGTGTGGCCGGTCAGGATGATGTGTTCAGCGATCTAATCTTTCCCTATCCATTTTTCTGCACAGTCGCTGGTGTTCTATGATCCTTGTGCTGATTGTCCTCGTTTCTCGGCTGCATTTTTGTTTTAGGCCCTTGCAGTTTATGCTGCTAACCCCAGAGCACACAATTATGTTGACTTTTCGATGTTGTGTGTGCAAGCTGGTGAAGATAGTTGTCCTTTCCTTCATGATTGTACGAATTTTTCATTTCATTAGTGTCGTCCGCAGCTTCCGAGCCAATTCGCAGGATTGTGGACATGTCCATCTTTTTTCCTTTGTTTCCCCTGCTTATATTTAATAATTCCCGTCCTGTCATCTCATCACGATCCGTATGTTGCGTTGTATTGCTTTTGGATATCTGTTTCTAAATAACATCTGAGCTAGTCTTTCCTGACCTCCACATCCAGTCTAAATTTGATTTTTTTTATCGATGTCATTTAAAAGGGTCAAGAAATCGTCTAATTCTTATTTTCCTTTGGACTGTACCTCAAAACTCACCAAAAGTTCGTTTTTCTTCCAAACTGATGACTATGATTCCTTGGCAAAATTCGTATTACTTCTTCAATAATATGTCGTTCACTTTCTTTAATTTGAGGCATATAAATTTTGCCAATTTATGTTTTGCTCTGTGTTTGCTGTTGACTACATGTCTTAACTGTTCTCTGTGAACTTTCGGCAAACCATTGGCTGCTATGACTTTGCATCCTTTCGTATGAGTGAATTAATTTTCTTTGATTTTAACTATTAGGTCTTTTGCTAGTAGTTGATAAGTTGTGTCCTTGAGAATGTCTTCCATTTAATTATATTCTTTCCTGTCCCTCACT